GCAGGAACATGTTGTTTTAAAGATTCCAACAACTGGGTTTCAGAAATTTGCATGTTATGAATTATGCTATAATTTTGTGGATGAGAGTGTGTACTCCAGATGTTCATAAATGCTAATGGAAAAATTCCTGGAATTGTACTACTCCTTGGATTTTAACTGAGAAAAGTTGAATCCATTGGCTAGGCTACTAGTCATGTTCTAATCCACCCAAAGAAAGAATTTCTGCTTGCAAAACATGTCCAGCATACTTCTATCTCCCTCCCTATGCTTTCCCCCCCTCTTTTCAACTTGTAACAGCTCTAACTGGTTGCTAATTTTTAACATACACATTCAGGAAAAAAATCTGCTTTGTTTTTTATAATTATTTATTTTCAGCAGTGTGCGGTGTATTTTCTGGAATTAAACATGCAAGAAAAGCTGTTGTTTATATTTCAGAAGTAAGGCTTGTGACCCATATCCTTTTCAATTCAATGTGCTTTCAAAATTACACCTTTTTCACCACTTGAGGGAGCACTCTTTCTACATACAGATTTTTCATTTCATCTAGTGATACCATCTCATTTCCAAAGATGCCTTTTCACATATCCCCTCTACTCAGAAATAACGTTCAAAGAATGATCCATTCATGACAACAGAACTATGGTATTCCTCTACACCCAGACTATCAGCACCTGAGCATTAATATCACCAGGAAAGGCCTTTCTCTTGGTCCCACTACCCTCACAGACATGCTTGCTGGGGACATAGGAGAGGGTCTTGCCTATTGTTGCTCCTAGGTGCTGGAATTCACTCCCACAGAAAGCTAGGTTGGCCCCATCTTAGCTGGCAAAGACCTTTCTCTTCAGCCAGGCCTTTCCTTAGTGACTGTGAGGGTTTTTAAAACTTGATTGTTGTGCTCTGTTGGGTTTAAATGTGTTTTCAGTATTGAGTTCATTTACCATTTCTAATAAAAGACTTGTTTTTTTAAAGAATATTTATGTACTTACTGTATTTGGCTTTTAAATTTTGTGTGTGCTTTTTTTAAAGTGATATAAAGAGCCTTGGATCCTTTTAAGGCAGACCTGGGCAAAGTGCGGCCCGAGGGCCACATACGGCCCGCGAGCAGCTCCTGTCTGGCCCGCAGACAGTTTTGAACATCCAAACCATTTATAGCTTTTTGTCTAAAGTTGATCAGTTGCTTATCTTTAACATGCCGCAAAAAAAACTCTTTAGAATTTGTGAAGATTAACAAGTTTAAAATAAAAACAATCATAACATCACTGTTTCATTTTATTTTAAAGTAAAGTTGTTTCAGCCCCCGAACAGAGTTTGGATTTTTCATGTGGCCCCCCTCTAGAAATTAATTGCCCACCCCTGTTTTAAGGACAAAGGCAGGGTAAATGTGTTTTGAATACGTAAATAAATAATGCCAGGAAGGAAGGAAGGAAGGAAGGAAGGAAGGAAGGAAGGAAGGAAGGAAGGAAGGAAGGAAGGGTCCAGAATGCATCTTACAGCATGAGTAATGGTACCAGATCCTACCACTTGGGGCAGACCCATCGTTGTCATGGAAGACAGGAAGTCCTGTTTTCCCCAAAAAAAGTCGCCACATTAGTCTGTCTCAACATGTTGGCAAAGCAAAACGGGAAAGGCGTGGGGGGGAGGAAAACATGATGTCAATATAAAGATACACACATTTATTTTAGTGTGAACTACAGTGGATCAAAATCTTGCTTTCCCCACACTGTCCATCGCCGAAGTGACCCTGTAGGGCGTTCTGGTGGCTATGATCGCAGTGGCTTCTGAAAAATTTGCCTCAGCCCATGTCACTCTTGCAGGTGCATCATCTTTGCCAGACTTTCTAAACACTACATTTTACAGGGGCCCTTGTCACTACGTTTTGTCTGTGTTGCAGTCAAGGCTCCCAAGACCACCTTTTCTCTTTAAGTCCTATAGCAGGGGTAAGAAGGAGGAGTTGTATACAGCAGCAAGAGAAAGACAGTGCTAAGCGCTGTCTCCTCGTGGGTCTTCCTTCTCAAAATTGTATTTCTCTATAACTCTGGTTCCCATTATTCTGATTCATGACTAGCCACGATGGCTGGAGAATTCAGGCAAATGTATTCCAAGAAAAGAGGGTTTCCCCCCATTTCTGATTCATTCCCCCATGTATATTTCACACACACCCCTTTGAACGATACTTCTGCACTTCTGGTCATGCACTAATTCAGGATTGGAAAAAGCAATATTTACAAATGCACATCTACTCTTATTTCCAGTCTTGCACTGCAGTACATTAAATATCTCCTCTTTAATCTGGAGCAGCACAATTATGTGAGCAATTAAGAAGAATAAGCACATGCCCTTTTCTGAGAATTCAACTAACTCTATTTATAACAGAGATGGACCCTGACACGAGTCATCTAAGTATATTTGCAGAGACAGTGAAAGCCAGACGACAGGCTTTTTGTCAAAAAAGGAAACTTCTTGGACTGAAATGCTCTGTTCTTTCCAGATGTTGAAAACACTGAGTGTCTGTTGCCACGTCAGATGGAGTCTGGCTGTACCCTTTCGCACTTGCTGAATAAACTTTTCTTTTACCAGCTGCTCGGTCACACTAAAATACATGCAGAATTAGGAAAAGGCTGTGCAGTTTAGGATTATACAGATGCAAGGGATAGGTAATACCTTTACTAAACTATTAAAAAAAACACTATCATGCACATTACAAGCTTTCGTGGGTAAAACCCCACTTCCTCAGGCTGTGCATCACCCTTTTATGGATAGTGAAGAAATTATTGTCCCAAAATATTCATGGCAGATGTCTGTGCTGAGTCTGCTTGCATTAGGAAAATCCAGACTCAGGTTGCAAAGTCCGTTGGGAGGTATGGTCTCAAGCATCCTTCCTTGTGAGTGTGGTTGGAATTTCCCCTCCCAGACACCAACCAACAATTTTCTAATTACTCTCTGTCTGCCCCCCCTCATCCCATTACTTGTTCGTGAAATGTGAAGCTTCCTCTAGGCTGGGGGTTGTAAACAATTCCGAGAATTTTGCTTTTTGCCTATTTACAATTTCAAGTGTTTCTTCAGTCAAGTAAGGTTAGAATATTGAATGTGACTTTGTTTGCACTCATGGAACATTTTAACAGATTTTTGCTTTTAGGTGCTAAACAATGGAGCAAACAATATAGCACCTCTTGTCTTTCTGCCAGACAAGAAAAAGTGTATCTACCAGCATAGTAGTGTACTATTTTGATAGTTAAGCCCACACAAGAAGTTGCTTATCAACATTTATTATAAACAATTTCTCTCAAAATATGTGTTCACTACCTTGAAGTGAAAGGAATAGCCAGGAACAGATGTTACATTACTTTAAAAAAATTCAGATCCCTGCATGACTATACAGTAGTTCAAAGTATCAGCAGATAAGGCCATTTATTTTAAAAAGGTTCTGGGAATAAAATTGACACTGCTAGGTGCAGGAAAACATTTAGTCGAAGCAGAGAAAGCCTGACATTGTCTCATGCTTCAGTAAACAACGGTATAAAAAGTGATTCATTTTATTCTGGATCTTTTTTAATGTATCTGTTTTATGCATGTGTTTCAAGGATGTGCATATTAAGTAAATAAATTGTGTCTTTGGGAAAATGGTCGACGTCAACATTTTGTGGATCCAACTGCTGCAGAAAGGAAAGCAGTCATGCCTGCTTATCAAGGATATATAGGCAGCATCTCCATCAATTGCCATCATCAGTTATGTTAGTGCCACCCCATGGTCCTTTAGGATCCATGCCACTCATCTCTCTGATGTGGGAAGGGAAAGAGGCATCAGGTGGAGTGAAGGATACTGACCACCACCCTGACTAGATTGCCAACTAAGATCAGCTCTGAAATTGCTCAAAAACAAGCACTGTTTTCTCGCCCTGCCATTCTGCCAGCAAGATGGAGTGACTGGATCTTGGCATGATTGGATGGGGCTCATTGGACTGCCCTGCCTATCAACCCAAGGGAACAGATTCCAACAAATAGGGCTTAGTGCTGGACTTTGTACTACAAAGTGATGCTAACACTGAAATGGCTTGCAAGAAGATAGAATGGATGTCGAAAATATTGCCAAAGTGAAAAAAATATTGCCACAGTGTTACTCACTGTCGATGTCTAAAGGACAGATGTTGACATCACATCAATCACTCAGGTTCTGGTGTTCTTGGAGATCAAGGTGAAATTTCACCTCCATAATCCTATGGCATGTTGTGGGGGAAGGGAAGCAGTCAGTCTAAGCCGCCACAGGATTTTAGAAATCTTTGGGAGTTTCACCTTGTTCTCCAAGGAGGCCACAACCTGAGTGTTTGTGTGAGGAATCATGATGTGATATTTGGATGACTGAGGCATAGAACAAGATGTTACCTCTACTTCCTTCTGGAAAAGCCAATTAACCTGGTTGTAATTTTACTCCAAAGGGATAGGATCCTACATCACAGCTCAGGGAAGCAATCTAGTTTGGGGGGGTTGCATGAAAGGCCAAGTGGCTCAAGGGGAAGAGCTATGAGGCTGCCAGTTCTGTCCTCCAACATCTGTCGCCAGAGGTGGCTGCCTCAGTCTCCCTAATGACTCCCATGATTGCTTCTTTGCATAGAAATTTAACACTATGTAGGTCTCTGCTCTGGGCACATGCAGCTCTTTCCCCCATTTAGATCACCACTCATCTGTGCAAACCATATGGTACATAGGTCCGTTCCACTTTGTTGGTGGCCACTCACAAGAAATGGTCAGCGACTACAATTGCTATACGTGAAAAGTAAGCCTGTTGGGAGTAGGGATATTAATTGTCCCACATTCGGAATTTCCTAATTTTTGGTAAATTGTAAAATATATAGAAATGAAATTCTCACCCATTCCCAATGTGTTGCTATGTGCCTTCAAATCAAAATTGACTTAAAGTGACCCCAACGGGGTTTTCAAGATAAGTGAAATGTTTAAGAAGTGGTTTTACCAGTTTCATGCCCCCAGCAAATTTCCATGGCTGAGTGAGGATTCGAACCCAGGCCTCCCAAGTCCTAGTCCGTCATTCTATCTACTATACTACACTGGCTATCCTATTCCCTGTGTGGGATACGTAAATAAAAAGCTAGGAAAGAGGCCCATTTTTGCTTTAGAGAACATTCTTTCTGGTAAAATTGCTGCTTTGTCTTCAGTTTGCAAAATGTGACATTTACTACAACAGCTCCTGTTTAGTCTGTGTTCAGTTTTGACTGGGTGAAAATTCCCTCCATAAAGTTCAAATTAATATAACTACAAGTTTTTGTTAAACCTTCTGCACCATTTTAAGTGTAAGAAGAGGCAATGGCCAACAGCAAACTAGCTAGAATTGCAACAAACTGTATTTAAGGCAATGATCAGTGCAATGGGAGTGCTAATAAGAACAAGCAATTCTGATATCCAGCAGTATTATGAAAAAAAAACATATTACAAACAAAGCTACATCATCATGGTGAAAACAGAAACATCTTGTACTAAAAAGTGCAATTTCAGAGTAATGCGGAATCCAAAATGCTTCTAATAATTCTTTAAACAAATTGCAACACTATAATTTTCTAAGTGTCAACCTTGGAGGAGGTATCTGACAGCCTAATTTTGGAAGATACTCTTCGATGACATCATTCCTTTATTAAAAATATGTTCTCCTGATTTTCATTGAAACAGATTTAATTTTGATAGGTTTGCCATCCATAGTCCAGGTATCCCAACGAATCCTAGTCGACAGCATCCTCCTTGTGACCCGATGAACGCCGTTCAGATTGGCAAGCCCACACTGGCTGAACCACCATCCTGTTTTCCCACTGAAGTTACTGCAGCTCTTTATAGGCTGCTCTTGGACAGAGCACAATGGGTTGCAACCATCATTATCCATGTCATATGTACTAAAAGGTAACGTATTCTGATTGTCTTCTTTTTGAAGTCCTCGAAATGCATCACCTAAGTTATAGCAACAACAACAAAAAAGAACAGAAAAAAAGTTATCATACTAATCTAGCCAACAATTCAGGGTGCAATGAATATGAATTTAAGCTTCAACTGTGTGTAAACTGCCACACTTCGAAGAGAAAGAAAACAGCCTCTGGGTGAGACTATACAAAGGTTTGGCATAGGCTGTCATAGGATGACAAACCTTACTGCTGCAAAGCACACAGAATTTTTTAATTAACCTCGGATGTCCATTTGAAGTGCCATTATCTCCACCCTCTTGCCTACTCCATTTGTTGGCCGTCAAATCCATTTAAAAAAATATTTAGCAGGTGAAATAGCACTGAATTGAGGAAACATGGTAAGCATTTGAAATAGTGCTATATCAATTTAACACTGTAGCCATACTAATCTAGCATGTATGTATGTACTTTGTGTGTGTGTGTGTGTGTGTGTGTGCGCGCGCGCGCGCGCGCATGCAGTGTTCTTATATACCACCCCACAGTGCAACACAGGACCAAGTAGGGCAAAAAACTGCATTCCAGTTGCAGTCCTTACCATTGTGAACAAAAGGAGTAGCTCATTCCCACATCATGCCACACTCTTGTACATTATCAGTGATGCCATCTGGACAGGCCCAACAATGGCCCTAAACACCCAAGATAGGGGGTCACACAAGCCAAAACAAGGCAAAAAATGTGCAAATAGAAACGCTGCAAAAAACAAAAGCTTTGTCTGCTGAACAGAACATATTGCATAGTACTGATTCCAAAAGATCAGACCTACCTGTGATTACCGCTAATACTGTATAGTTGATAGAATAAATATCAAAAGGAAAAGTAGAACAAATAGCTGTCTACTCTCTCCCTCTGCTTGAGAATGTCACTTGTGAACAGTGATGATTGCTCAGAATCTCCATAATAATAAGTGTTTTGTTCATATTTCTTTTCAGGGAGCTGTCTTTCTGTTACTAACGTTCTTAGGAAGCATGCTTAAGGAGTAGCCTGGTTCCCATAGTCATTGACTCCCGTTTCTGGGTGCATACATATTTTTGGTGACCATTTCACAACTACATTATTCATATCTACTGAAGAACTGGCAAAACATGAGCATGAGCATCCTCCAGAAAATTCTGAGTATTTAACTAGAACTTTCTAGATCTATTTTTAGAAATTCAAGTCTTAGAACAATCCATACAGCACATTGAAATAAAATTAAATGGCTGATTTTTAAATACCTCTTACTCTGCAATGCCATGTAATCATCTGAACTATCCTCTCCCTAGTCCTCAGTCCATGCAGTTACTAATTATATGAATGGTGGCTCGTCTTCTTTGGCTGTGCTATACAGCTATGGCAAGGCACAGACATTTGGAAATGCCTGGCCATAAACCAGCCATGATTTGTGAAATGCCTTCAGATGTTAGTCACACTGTTAATGCTCCAGATAGATTTAACATCTGCAGTGAATAATAAAGGTGTTGCAAAAATATGAAAGAGTGTAGATTGTTATATGAATGGTGGCTCGTCTTCTTTGGCTGTGCTATACAGCTATGGCAAGGCACAGACATTTGGAAATGCCTGGCCATAAACCAGCCATGATTTGTGAAATGCCTTCAGATGTTAGTCACACTGTTAATGCTCCAGATAGATTTAACATCTGCAGTGAATAATAAAGGTGTTGCAAAAATATGAAAGAGTGTAGACTGGAAAATCAGTACAATGGTGCCTTGCTTAACAAAAAAATTGCTGCTAAGCGAAATGCGGTTTCCCATTGAAATGCATTGAAAACCGGATAATCCGTTCCAATAGGAATGAATTGCCGTCCTTAAGTGAAAATCGCCATAGGAAACATCACTAAGCGAAACACAGTTCCCCAATTGAAATGCATTGAAACTTATTCAATGCATCTCAATGGGGAAAAAATATAACAACAAATTAAAAAATAGTCAGAACAAAGTCAAATTTGGTTAACAAAGGGTTTATTAAGTGCACTTTGATTTCAAACATTTTAAACAGTAAACTTTAACTTTATAAATAACAGAAAAACATTTAAAAACAGCAAACATAAGGCTGTTTAAACCATCGTTAAGCGAAACAGGGGACCCAAAATGTAACCGCTATGAGAAGCATGGTCCCAACCATCGCTAAGCAAAAATCGCCCATAGGGACCATCGTTAAACGAAGCGTAAAAACGCTCCAAAAAAGTCGTCGCTAAGCGATTTTGTCGTTAAACGAAGCAATCGCTAAGCGAGGCACCACTGTATTATGAATCAACACACAAGTGGACTGTCTGAATGGTGAAGACTGAGCAGTTTATATAATAAAATTAAGAGCTTACTGAAATCCTACGACAAAGTTACCAAGAATAAACTGGTTACTGTCAATATTTTTAAAAGTAAGCTTTTTTTCTGATGCCCTTTCACTAGAGCCTAGAAGCAATTATTCTAATAACTAGTTATTTGTAATTAATTCATTTTCCTAAGAATGAAAACATGTAATTTTGCAACTGCAACTTGTGAAACCAATTTCTCTTTCCCCTGTTGGGGAGTATGGGTCTACCACCTCATCAGGAGTAAGGATATGATTTCCCAACCTGCAGTTCACCTGTGGACTCAGGCGGTGCTACAGACGACACCCTGGAGGCCACATTTATGAGCATGGAGGGATGGGGATTTAAGGTGGAAAGTGAGGAAGAATAGAAGGGGAGGATTGCTGTCACAACAAACATCTTAATTGCCTTTCATGTTCCCTCAAAACAAAAAGATCTTCCCTCTCTTATTCTTTTCTCACTGCTGCAATCTGCATGACTCCTGGGAAAGGAGGCAGACTGGCATTGTCAATCAAGTGAAAGTGTTAGATTCCCTTTTGGCAGTGCCTTGATATGGCCTCTAATAAAAGATAGGAAGGGACAAGAACAGGTAAGGTTTTCAGAGGGGAAATAAGAAAAATAGCTCTTAGTGAATGTTCCTAGGAATGTCCTGGCTAACGGAAACCAAGGGATAACCATTAGGTGAATTGACATGTGCGGGGGGGATTGTGGTGGTTATGCTGACAGTTCTTTATTTAAGCTCTAGTATGTTCCAAAAAGTTTTGTGTTGGTGCAGAAACATCCATATCTGTGATTTACGAAGATCACAAAAAAGAAGTGTCAGTTCCCCTCTCAGTCCTTTCTTTGAAGTTTTCATTAACAAGAGCTAATTGGAAGGTGTCAATTGTCCTTTTGTTCTGGGTACATACTGACCTCCGTCTGTTTGGACAGCTTCCCAGGCACCCACAAAGAAGCATCAAAGCTTGCAATAACTGAATTTCATATTCCATACTCCATCTATTCCCCATTTCCTCAGTTTCTTCACAAGGGGAATCTGTTCCTTCCAACAGTTTTTTTCCTCAATGAAGACAGTTTTTCAATTCAGACAAGGACCACAGAAGGGGACGACAGGTTACTGTCCTCCTAGACTTCAATGTTGAGGTCCAGATCCAGATTCCCACATCTCCAATTTTCTCTTTTAAAATATCCAACTAACCATGTTATGCCAGGCCCTCAACTTCTATTACAAGAAAAATTAAGACAGAATGTAGTCTGGTCATCCCAAAACCAATGGGTTATGAAAGGGTTTTCAAAAGGGACCTGGGAACATCTTAGCAATTTCCTTTTAGAATGCACAACACACATGGATATTATTTGCCACCTAAAATTTCCATTTATAGAAATCTTCATTTTAAGGAGAGACAGCTTTGGGCATTCAGCTCTTACCAGCATTTCCAGAATAACGTCCTAAATGTATTTTAAAGGCACACGCTTCATCTTCTAACCAAAAGGTATCATATGATGCATAGGCGTATGTGTCATCTTCCGACTCCAAGCCCACGTAAAGCATGAAGCTGGCTGTTTTCTGGTTTGTCATGTGGAAAATCTTTCGGAGCCCAAGCCAAAATTCCCCTATAAACGGAATGAAAATAAACTTTAACAGAAGCAAAGACTTATCCCCTTTCATGCTACCCTCAGTCTGTTTGTTATGAAGTCATCTGCAAAAGACTAAGGATGTAAAGGTTTGTGAATGCAACCTCAGCTAAGGGCTTGAAAAAAAGTACTCAAAGAATCTCCACCAGCATATCCAGAGGCTAGGTTGCTTGGAACATTTTGGGAACTACAGTAAAAAAAAAAAGTAATATTTCTAAGCTCTGGTTCAGCTAAACAGCGCCCTGCTTCCCACCATCAGCCTTAATCACTATTAGAAGTAAGAAATAGTCATGTATCCTATTTAAAAGAGGAAATGCATGCTCTACTTTAGGGCCATGTTATTGCACAAGGTGAAAAGACCATGACATCTGATAGGCAGGAACAATTGCACATGTGTGCATACGTCTGATGAATGTTTATGAACAAGGAGACTCCTAATATTTCCCTACTGCTCTTCTCTTGATATGACTCTGCCACTTATTCCTTGCTTCACTTCCTGTCCTTTCTGAAACTATGCCCTTGTTCTCCATTTCTACACCCAGATTGGCATCTCAACTCTCTTCACCATTCCTTTCCTTCCACTTGACCCAGGACTGTCAGCTCCACTTCCTAGACAGGCCAGCCATGCCATTTCTCTTCAGCTGGCATCACAACACATCCATATGTGCAGTCTAGCTAGGCTAGAATGACCCTCAGTCTGTTTGTTATGAAGTCATCTGAAAAAGACTAAGGTTTGTGAATGCAAATTTAATAAAATAAAATTCTACCAAGCATATAATATATTGGTACCTGAAAGATCACCAAAACCATCCAGATAGTCAGACCAGGTCCTTTGAAATTCAACTATCCCTTCAGTTCTCTTCTGGATCACTGTCCATCCACCTCCTCTGAATTCCATCTCGCACAATACCTAGAATGGATGGAGAGTGAGGGGATCTTTTGGTTGCATTCTTCCATATAATGCCATCCAAACAATGTGGATTTCTACAAAGCTTGACTTTTTAGTTTGCAGAGTAGTTCTTTTCATTCTGAAATATCACTAGAATGGTTTACTCAGGCTAGGTTTGGGCATTGCTCAGAAGGCTGTAAAACCCTTTTTTCCTCATAGATTAGGTGGATTAATTATGCACAATGGTAATAGGGCCATAAGTCAGAATATGGGTTACCATCCAATGAATTTGTATAAAGCAAGATGGGGAGAGGTTCAGACTGGTGGGCAAGGGAAGACCCCCCACACACACACACCTGACAAATCTGTCTTACAATTAACTCCAAAAGCAGCAGTCTTCACCTAATGGGTCTTAAAGATTGGAGGTTAATGGTATCTGGAGCATAATGGTTGGGAGAGAGGCTGCGGACAAAGAGCAGCTACTGCTATCCATTTGCTTCTCTACTTTAAATCAAGTCCCTGAGACCACTTTAAATACCATGTTCCAGAAGAGGGATGTTCTAGAGCAGAGATATATGGCAGATCGAGAATTACTGATGCCTCTCTGCAGTCATTTTCGGATTTCTGAATTATTAAACAATAACAGAAACAAATTTTCTGCTCTCTTCCTCCCCTCTGCCATAACTTATACTGCAGCCAATGTTATATAACAGCCGTACACACCAGGCATACAATATCAGCCACAATATTGGCTAACTGCTATAATCACAAGTATAATGTGTGTACACTATACACCAGGTCCAGCTCTACCAGGAGGCAAATGGATAAATGTTTTCCTCCAAAGTATTCCTACAGGACATCAGAGTAAGAGCTGAGTGGTGGTTGTTTAAAGTGTGTCAAAATGTTATCACTGGGATTGCTCTGATGCTGAGATTTTTTTAAGTTTCCAAACAAATAGTGAACATGAATACAGTAATGTGTTTTACCTCAAAGGGGTAACTGGATCCTTCTGGATGGATTATGTAAAGACCACTTGGAGTTTTTGTAACAGAGCCAATTGTGTCTTTAATATCACTGCAATCCAAACCTGCGGGACAATATTACCAGAGGAAGCTCAGGTTCATCTTGGTAGGCAAATTAAAACAAAGAAGCAAAAAATAAAACAAAAACAAAACAGGAAACACTGAGCTGTTTTCTCTACCAGCCATATTTCTTCTGAACTACATAACCACCCACCTATCCAGTTGTGATTTCATCAGTGTTTCAGATCTGATCATATTATATAAACAGGAGTACGTATGAAGGATTTAAGCAAAGGCTTAGGTTCTGGAGATTCCATTGCTGTTCAGGTCCTTTGTAAAATTTCCAATGCCTCACTATTTAATGGATTTAGCTAAGGGTTGTGATTTATTTACTTGTTTATTTAAAAATTAACATACCCTGTTTCCCTGAAAATAAGCCCTAACCTGAAAATAATCCCTAGTATGATTTTTTCCAGGATGCTTGTAATATAAGCCCTACCCCAAAAATAAGCCCCAGTGAAGTGAAAACCCACCCTCCACCACTGTGCAGCAATCAGAAGATGACAGGTCTGTATTTGAATAAATGTAGATGGTTGAAAATGAAAAAAATAAAACATCCCCTGAAAATAAGCCCTAATGTATTTTTGGAGCAAAAATTAATATAAGACCCTGTCTTATTTTCGGGGAAACACGGTAGATTCCAGAACAAAATCAAAATAAATCAATAAAATGGCAGATTAAAAGTGGCAAAAAAATCCAGTATTCTTATATTTGTAATCCTCAGTGTACAGTAGTACCCCCTTATCCATGGGATCAGTATCCACTGATTCACTTATCCATGGTCTGAAAATATTAAAAGTAAAATCCCCCCCAAAATATGTTTAACTATGAAGTTACCATAACTAGCCACAAGAGGAAGACAGTTGCTATTATAATAGCATTCACTATAATACATGTTTTTCAACATCCTCGGGGGGGGGTCATTCCCCATGGTTACGGGGGTTCTACTGTATGTACCAAGGAATAAGCCACAGAGAACACAGTGAGGCTTAACTCTGAAAAAACATGGTGTTAAATAGTATAGACATTATTTGTACCGTATTAATAGTAGGAACATTACAAGGTAGACTATGTAATGCTTTGGCTGAATTTTATCCACAGGAAACTTGGTCAAGAAGCAGCCACAATTTAGCCAAAAAGGAAAATCAGACTCTGTACAGCAAATTTACACACAGCACACAAGAGCATCACTGTTTTATACTAATGGCAGAGAATGCAAAGATTTAAGTAGTTTTTGAAAGACCAGGAATGACAAAACACTCCTCCATCTTATTATTTTTTTTCTACTGCCTTTCCAGGAATATTATATACCTAAAAGAGAAACTGTAAAAGTTATGGAAGAAGTCTTTACCATGAGACTGAACAGCCCGATGAGGAAATACATCAATTGGTTTTCTAGACATGTCTGCATTTAAAAGCATAACCCGACTCATAAGCTCATTCACCTGTAGGTTTACAAGAAGAAAAATGTTTAAATAACTTTAATATGCAGTACTGTATTTAATATTTAACTACATTTAGCCCATGGCCACAAAATGCTGTTCCAGGATGTGATCCAGATCTATGTACTTATGAGACTGCCATTCTAGGCAATCCTATTCAGGAATAAGCCCCACTGCACTGAATTTGACTTAATTCTAAATAAACATACAAAACAACTATCCATCTATATATCTAGGTTTGGAAACAGAATGATGTGCCATACAGGGCAATCGAAAGCATGTTTATTCAACAATGGAGCTTAGTGAGTGTGTAGTAATTCTGTTCAAAACTGCAGTTCAAGAACCAACCTATACCTGACATAATTCATATGGCTTGGTCATGAGTTATGGATTTCTCCATACTTTACAGCATGTGTGTATGTTGAAGTGGTTGGGACAGATAAGGACTATGGTGGTGACTTCTCCCCACTGAGCAGGACTTCAGTGGAGATAATTTTTTAACTAGTTTTCCCTACCTCTGTACTTGTTGTTTTACATCAGGACTGGGCAATCTGCAGCCCTCCAGATAACTGTGTACTGAAATTCCTGCATTCCTTAGCACTGATATACTATCAAGAGATTATTGGAGCTGCAGTCCAGTCCACCTGGAAACCCACATTTTGCCCAGTTCTGATTTAAATTTTGCATAAGAGGTTAAGTTTGCTGGATGTTGTTTGATGGACTACTTTCACCAAAAGCCATTCTAATCCAGCATTCATTTCCATGGTGCCCAACTAAGATGGCTGCAGGAAGCCCAGAAGTAGGGCATGCATGCAATATCAATATATATCCCCAACTCTCTATAGTCACAGCAAAAAAGAAAACTAAAAAGAAAACAGAAGCATTGTGTGGGCTTTACTGAAAACTACTACAGTATTTACAATCAGCCATTCTACACCAGAACCTAGTAGGCTACTTGGAGCTTCTCATCTAGATCTCCACTGACCTTAACTGCTTTCTGGTAACTACCCATTAAAATATTTTCAACACTATAAGCAGGTACTGTATAAGTCTGAGACATTTTGCTTCCTGAGTCAGAGCAGAAAATGCTGCTTTCCACCACCCAGCTCAAAGTGCAGAGCATATACTGCAGACCACTGACAGCAGTGAAAATACAACTGTAAATTTAAAAAAACAACAATTCTCTACCTGTTCCTAAGATCACAGATCTGATGCTTGGGTTAAGATGCCTCTTTTTATCTGATGGTAGGACAAGTCCTAACTAAGGGATACAATGGTTAGTTTTGCTCTTTGCTCTCCATAGCAGCGGCAAGTGACTAAATACCAGTGACTGAAGAGTAACAGTACAAGCTGGGTTTATTTGTTTTGTATAAAAGAATCCAGAAAATTTGTAATTTAGATTTTGGCACTGAATTTGGCTAAAGAAAATTATTCAATAATATCAATCCCCTACAGGTACCATCCTCCCTCCACCCCCTTTGTAATAACTGGCAGTACCTGATTGGAAAGGTAATCCAAAGAAGACTGATGATCATCCATCATGTTTCGTATCATTTTCTTAGTACTTCTTGCATATTCAACCAGCGAGTTCTGCAAATTCCCTGTAAACATACAAATAGTCAGTCATTTTTAAAGTATTGTGATGAGCCACAATAAAGCTTTCTTGAGCAACAAACAAAAGATGGGCATTGTGTGGAAATTGTTTAAACAAAATGATGAACTGTTAAATGTTCTGGCAGCATTGTGGGCATCATCCTCAGAAAAGTGACATCTGAAGCACTAAAGTGATAGGTTCAGGCACCAGTTCACAGAGCACTATTTTATTCTGTCATTTTCATCTTCCTCGTCTGTAATATAGTCCTAATCAGGAGCAGCTTGTGGGCTGGGATGGGGGGGCATTTCATCCTAAAATTTCAGGAGGAAGTGGCTTGCCCCACCCTATTCATGAGCAGTCCTAGTAGTACTGACCCACCTGAGTTGTTTTAAGCGTTGCTATAATTATCAGAGCTTGGAAAATTTACTTTTCACATTTATAGGTAAAGGTTCCTCTTGACATTTAGTCCAGTTGTGTCTGACTCTAGAGGGTGGTGCTCATCCTCGTCTCCAAGCTGTAGAGCCAGAGTTTGTCCAAAGACAGTTTTCGTGGTCATGTGGCCAGCACGACTAGACACGGAACGCCATTACCTTCCCACCATGGTGGTACCTATTTTTCTACTCACATTTACATGCTTTCAAACTGCTAGGTTGGCAGGAGCTGGGACAGGCAATGGGAGCTCACATCATCGTGTGGATTCAATCTTACAACTGCTAGTCTTCTGACCTTGCAGCACAGAGGCTTCTGCGGTTTAACCCGCAGTGTCACCACGTTTCACATTTATACCTCTCACAATCCCCCCAGCCACGACACCACCAATCATGACTGCAATTAAACTGTCTGTAAAAACAGGATTGAATCTGCAATGACTCCTGTTGCATCACACAACATCAAGTACAGCTGTTGTTTAAAATGGTGCCAATCCATTTTTTCTCCTTTGGATTTTACAGATATTCTGCAGTTTCAGGTGGTACAGGACCACCTCTTTTTTCCTGCCAGTCATCTGGCCATCCCTTCCCCACCTCTTCTGTTTACTACCATCTTGCTGTCTCTCAATTGCCAGATCTTCATTTTTTTCCTTTGCACCTTTATTTGTACATTTAGATGTCTGATTCCTTTTTTAAAAACTGGTGATTAAACTGCACATCCACATATTTGCATAAACAAGTTTGTAGACTGCCCCAAAATTTGTTGTTTCAGGAAAGTTCAGGTTCTCCAGTTTGGACGAACCCAAACTGAGCCGAATCAGCAAATTACTGTATTTCTCCATGTATAAGATGTTTCTTGTGACCAAAATCTTTAGACTAAAAATTGAGGGTTGTCTTATACACCGAAGTAAACTGAGAAGAGAAGAAAAACAAGTGAAGGGGAAAGCAGAGATTAAAGTGATCGTGCAGCGCTTTCAATCTTTTCCCCCTCCACTTGTTAAGCCCCGGTTAGATTTCTTAATTTTATGTTAGAAAAGTTGGGGGGATGTCTTATACACAGAAAAATATGTTAGTTTCGACAAACTTCCATCTTCATTGTTAGCTTCATGCTCAGCTCTAATATGTACATATGTGAACTGAGGCTAAATGCAAAGTACCGTAAATTCTGTTGGCAGTGTATGACACGGTATGATTCATCAGTGAAGATTAGAAAAAATTAAAAATGTACATACGACACATGTGATGCTTTTCTTCTTTTAATATTTTAGCTTGAAAATCACAGGGTGCATAACATTTTTTCTTCTCCTGCAAATTATCTGCAGATTGATTTTTTGTTCCAGGACTGGCTGCCTTTTCCCCAGTTTTTGCTGTGGTACCATCCTGTGACAACCAAACAATAGAAAACTTACACAGAGTGTACATAAACTAGCTCTTGGTTCTTAAAAATGAACTGTTGGATAACTCAGTGGTTAAGGTATCTGGCTGCAGAGCCAGAGGTTGACTCCTCTCCGTGTCTCTTTGATAGGGGTTGGACTCAATGATCTGTAGAGTGTCTTCCAGCTCTGGAAGTTCTAAGACGATGATGACAATGATTAAAAGGCAGCAAAGATTGGTCATCACAGAGAAATGCAAAGCAAATAGCTAACTTCATACTTTTTTGTATATATCTGAGAGTAAACGCATATATCATAAAACTGAAAAGCACAAGTTTGCTTTATAACCGTATTTTGTAAAACTATGTGGTGGAAATTAATTCCTGCTGCCAAATACCAGCCTAATTTGGATGTAATGCAAAAATGAAGTATTTTTTTGTGAATAATCGGAAACAAGCCTTAGGCTT